GGGGCTCGGAAACGTAACGCAGTACACCTTAAACGTCACCACAGCAAGGCCAGAGGACATCTGCAGGAATTAATCCAGGCTCTAACATATGCACGGCGGGAAGTAACGCTCGGCTCTGCACCTAGCTGTGGCAGAAAAGTGTCAGCTTCCATCTTGTGGGCAGGTTGGCGCTACCCACCCAGTTAAAACACCACAGCGTGGAGCGATAACGTGACTAAATGTAATGTCAGATGACTAAATTTTGCATCATTCGCTATCCGTACTCAGGCACTGAATCTCAAACAGTATTATTCCCCCCAAAAGAAAGTCATTTCTCTAACAGATTTTTTTCCTGCTATTTCTCCACAGACATATTACCTCAAGCGCTGTACATTAAGACCTGTAAGGAGATTTCTTCTCCCTGAATTCCACAGTACTTGTGACTTTCTAGTTTAATACCAGAAATTTTTATATATATACTTGTGTGGTTTTTTTTCAACTGACTCATTGCAAAAGATATTAAACAGACCAGACAGAATACCTCTGCAAAGATATTTTCTAACACATCCCACTACATCCAACTTGATGATTCAGTAAGGTGAGGGAATGAGCGATAAATTAGGAGCCTCTGTACTCCTCTCCCCAAGCCAGATCAAATCAAAGCCAACGTTAACTCAACGCTGACATCCTGTAATTAGCTACCGTGGCTAGGTGGGCACAGCTCACTGTTAAAAGTCTCTGAAACTTACATTTCTCATCTCCAACAACCTTCTGAAGCAGACTGAAGTTGGACTTCATCATAGACACAGCCTGTCTGCTTGCAAAGGAATTACAGGACGGTACTAAGGTTGAAGAAGAGGTTTGCCCAGTAGAATATCTACATACATTTCTTCTGTAAAAGCTTTAAACTAGAGGACCTATCTTTCTGCCACCTGCTACACAGCTCACCACCATTCCTAATTTTACCACATAACACATGCATCATCAAAACATATCCTGGCCACGTTATGCATCTTGTATAGAAATCATTCTTTCGGCTGGGACATGATTTCCCTTTTCCTTTTAGTCCATCCAGTAAAACTAGAACTGCTTTAAAAGTAGTAACAGTATGGAGAGCAATGCAAACTCACAGCTTGGAAGAGGAAGACGTTAATGTGGTAGAATCGCAAACAGCCAGACTTTCAGCACATCCACGGCACTGCTAGAGGTGCGTACAAGATCTGCTCGTGCAGACAAGATGTGTTATTTTCCAACCAAAAGCGTGCTAGAGACTTTCTAACGATTTTCCATTTTATTAAGCACACAGTAAGACGCATAAGGAGCATATAATTCATCGTAGGGTGTATTAAACTGGGTCCAAAAGCTATAAAATTTCTAATAATATGACAGTAAAGCAGAAGGACAATTTTATAGCCGGAACGATCGATCCGTTCCAGAGTTACGCAACACGCTATCAGATGATGGCAAGCTCGGATCTTGCAAAAACTGCATTTTCACCATGCCGGCTGTCTTGGACGCTCTCTCTGATGTGTCAGTGCTGCAGATTTTCATTAGTGCTGAAAACAGCCAGCACGTCTTGTGCCTGCCCAAAATAGTACCCAAGGTTCAAGCAGCAGAAAGGCCAAAAACAGAGGCGCCTCCCAAATAATCAGCGTTTGGATGACATTGGCTCGGTTACGTGACCCTCAGGACACCACAACACATCCTCCCTCCCTCACTCCTGCCCGGCGGTGGCCAGCTTTTGGCAGATAAGCGATGCTGCAAGGCGCAGAGCAAGGACACGGGCGAGCACGCCAAGCCGAGAGGCTGACCGTGGAGAAAATGGCTGGCCTGCCGGGGAAAGCAGGGCGTGCGGCCAGCTTCACAGCCCACCTCTCCACCACGGGCACCCAGGCTGCTCGGTGTGGTACCCTGGGGGAAAGGGGAAAGAGGAAGCGCTTCCCTGTGGCGCTTATCGTTCCTCCTTCGTTACCGTGACTCCACACCGCCAGGAAGGCAGCGCTCTGCCTCAGGAGGCGAGCCACCGAGGAAAGCGGCCATTTCCAAGCGGGATTAGACATTATTTCCCCAGAAACTGCCCAACGCCGAGCGGATTTCCTACCCCCATTGTCTGGAGGCGCAGCAGGACGCGCTGCCCTCAAGCCGAGGGGCACGGAGGCGCCTTCCCAGCGGCGTTACCTCAGCCATCTCCTCCTCAGCGCCTCCCTCCCACCTGCCCCTGCCCTTCCCGGCCGGGAAGGACCCAAACCCGCTGCCGGCACCGGCTCGGCCCGGGAGAGGTGCAGGCGGCCCCCGCTGTGCCCTGGAGCCGCGGGCGGCCCCTCAGCGCCGCGCCGAGATCACCTCACGGCCCCCGCCGCGCCGCCCGCGCTCACCTGCGCCACCACAGACTCCGCCGCCGCCCCCCGGCCGCTCTGCGCCGCCCGGGCAGTTCCGCATCGAGCCCCGGGAGCCGCGGGGAGGGACAGGGGGAAGGAGGGAGGCAGGGCAGGGCGGAGCGGAGCCGCACACCGGCCGCGGGGGGGCGGCAGGTGCCGCCCGCAGCAGGGCGCAGCCGCGGGGCGGAGCGCGGGAAGGCGCTGAGGGGAGGCTGAGGGGACGGGCGGGGAGGGCTGAAGAGGGAAGGAGACCCCAAAATGCCGGCCTTGGCGCCCCTACAGGCAGCCCCCAGGTGAAAGCTCGTAGCAGGCGAGGCCCGGGGCTGCCGGCCTCAAGGGGTTGGGACAAGATCGAGGTGGAGCTTCAAGGATTTCTTCCAAGCGCTCACACGCTGCATCACCACCTCCCTTTAACAGCAAATGAACAAAATCCTAAACGCAACCACTAGCGCCACTGGCATCCCAGTGGTTTAAAAAACTACAATAAAGTGCAAAATGGTTAAAAAAAATAAATAAAAAATTGTTTTGTTTTGTTTTTACACAGAGCACAAAACATCTGCGCTCTCCCCCTCATAGAGGAATTGGGATTTCAGAAATCAGCCCATCTGCTCCTGCTACCCCCATCCATTTGAGCCAATTGTGCAAACACAGCTTCCTTCCTTCCTTCCTTCCTTTCTTCCTTCCCTTCCTCCCTCCCTCCCTGTCACACACTGGTGACGCTTCCAGCACCCCACAACCTCTCCAGCAGCCAAATTAACAGCAAACTTGAAACAGGTCAGAGACAGAGAATGAGAGCAGTAGGTAGCATTTGGCAAATATTAAAGCACCGCTGAGCTCAAGGCAAGTTTTTCCCTCACACTTGCTTATTTCACCTCCTCAGGCTAATGTGGGAAATGGCTGTAAAACTAAAAACCAATTCTGTGCTCATTTGCACTAAGAAAAATAAAGAATGTAAACTAAGGACTTACCTTTGCTTACAGGATCCTGCACGAAAGCATAGAGAAGCCAGAGTCAAGGAAATTCACTGTTTTCACAGCTGCCATCAACAGCAGCATTACTGGTTGTAACTTGAAAATCCTTCATGCTTCTATGCAGCTTTTATCTTCAGATTAATAAAAAATGAGATGGCAGATAGCTGCTCAAGCAGCAGCTTCAAAGCAGCGCCTGTTACTGGGCAGCAGCTTCACTGCCATTGCCTCTTCTGGCTGTTGACAGCCTCGTTTGTCAGCAAATCCTTGCAGCAGGGCCCAGCTGTCCTCTAATCCACGCACGGCTGGCTTGAGCTCTTGAGGTCTGCTCATTACGCCCCACCTCACACCCTGCTGATTCTCCTGTGGCTAGTTAATAGTTAGGACCCATATTTCAATTTTGTTGAGCTTGGCTATGCAGAAAGTGGAGTGGAGCACGTGGAATAAAAGGCTCAAATTCTGAGTGTAGCTCAAATTAAGGTAAAATATGTATGGATAATCAATAGCCTCACAACATTTGCTTAAATTCACTCATTTGCCAGCTACAGCACAAAGAAGGGTACATCGTAGGCTAAAATCTCACACTAGAGGTTAAAGGAAACTGCCTGGGTTTGCGCTGTTATTTTTATTTTGCTATTTCCTGCTTCTCCCCAACCTATATTCTCACTTTCTTATCAATTTAGAGTTTGTTACATCAAAAATATTCCGCCTTCCTCCAGTCTAATGAAGGAACAACAGAGAACGCCAAAATCCCGTATTAGGCTTTATTCTTTTATATAAACATTAACATTTCTCAAACAGATTAGTTAAAAATACAGATTTTAACAAGAATTTTTGCAATTGCAATGAGTTATAAAAAACAACAGATTATTTTACAGATTGTTACAAGTGCTTTACAAAGGTGCAGAGTGAAGGCCAGTGGCAGGGGACCAACCTCAAGTGCAAAATGGACACAATACCCTCACCACGGGCATAGCGCTCAGATACACAGCCAAAAAACAAACAAACAAACAAAAAACAACGAGCCATTGTGAACCTAGGCTCTTGGGATGCTCACCGGGCAAGCAAACAGACCCCTATGACAGAGAAGGCTTATGAGACTAAGCTACCAGGATACTTCAGGTTACATCTCTGAGATCTGCCATAAGATGTTATTTCTTGGAAAATAAGGAACAGGTTTTGGAACAGTATATTTCTCTTCTGTCAGACAAAATATTGCTGTAAATCCTAGAATACTTGAGGATGTGGATACTTAAGAATGTAGGGCATACATCCAGCGTGGATCTCACTGTGCCCAAAGCGACAAAAGATACAAGACACAAGAGTTCTTCTAAAGCAGTTGGCACTCCTCACACAGCGGGAACCTCCATATCCCACGACAATCACTAGAACCTTGAGCAAGTACCTTGGAAAGACTTTGGCATAAGGAAGAAGATGCAAGTGGATCTGGTTACACTCAATGTTCCTGCAACCCGCGATCTGAGTTGTGCAGCCCATAGCTTACGCAATGCCCACATATTTCACTAAATGCAGCATGTCCTCTTCTCCTTTGCAAATACATCTTCACACTCACCTTGGAACACATGCCACATGCTCCAAATTCTTGGAAGTTTCTGAGATCCTTCCACCACACCTACCTTGTCTAGGTACCAGTCCTTCCCACCTTCCTCTCTTCTCTTCCACTCCTAAAGATCAATATCTATGCCCTGATTTGTTTTGAACTAAAGTTTTCCAGGTGTTAGCGAATCAAAGGTAAAGTAAACTGTTTGAGAACCATCATGAGATAAAATTGCAATATATTATGTTAAAAAAAGTCCACTGCTTTATGCCTGACGTCTTCCTGATGTACAAATGTTCCCTACCCAGAGGACCTCCCTGTTAGACAAAGGGCATCACACATTAGAGGAATCTTCTTTCCAAAGAAGGGTCAGAATGAAAGGGCAACTCTAGAGATGAAGTCTCATAATAAAGAAATAACAGCTACTTCTCTTGGAATCTTTGTAAAGGGCAGTACGTACAAGAGATTTTATTTATCGGAAACCCAGTGAAACCCCTAGAACATCCACATTGACTTCCCTGAGCTCCTCAGATCCAGGTACACTGGGGACCCTGCAGAAGCCTTTTGAGCTGGGTTACTCTCAACAGAGATGGTTTGGCAAGTTCCTGCAAATTCATTTTCATAATCAACAAGAGAGGAAAGGATCAATGGGCCAATCCCCAGGACATGCTTAGAAAAGAGAAAGAGACTCTGAAGAAAGAGGTGTATGTGCGTGGGGAGGGTCTTCATTTCTACCGTTTTCAGATGTTTCATGCTACTCATTTGGGGCGTGGGCACTACATCAAAACCAACCCCCCCATCTGATCTACCCCAGCTGCCTCCTGCATAATCTCATGATAACACTGCAACCCCAGGCTCATCACTCCCTGCACTGCCTAGCCCAGAGTTCAGTGCTTTGGAGAGGGGAGGCTGGCTTCTTGTTAGCAAAGGCTGGGACATGGTGTTATGTCGGCATATCAGTGCCCTGGGAGCATGCAGTCACTCATGCACATCCCAGATTTCTGAGAGCAGGGGAGGGAGTTTCTTGTCCTGCAGCCGAAGGGCAAACACCTGTTCAGAGTGGACGTTACTTAGTGTCCGAAGACTGACCAGCTTCATTAACATCCGTGGAAACATCAGGTGGTCCTGCAGGGTCAGAGGAATTGGCAGCTGTTAGTAAATACAGATTAAAACTTTTTTAAAAAGAAAAAAACAAACAAACAAACAAACAAAAAAAAAACAGATGATGCATTGTAAACACAATCCCAATTTCCTCCAGAACTGGCATCCTCCAGCATGCGGCAGTGTAGAGGAACACAAATACTACACCGTGTCCCAAAACATGCTTGCTAACTATGGAACATGATACAGGACAGCAGGCTGTGACAGCTCACAAATCCTCCATTTATGGCTGCCACCACACAGCCACAGAAGGGAACAGCGTGAGAGTACAGGCAGTAACAGATCTGCTACAGACATCACTGCAGGGACTGTGCCTGCATAAACCCACAGTCAGTTTGCATCATCACCAAGGACGTTGGTCAGACACTTACGTTTGGTCTGTTGATGCAGATGTAAGAATGAAGGGCTTCCACATAGGTGTGCTGCAGTCTCTCCACCAGGGACTGGTCCTGCACATTCGGTCGGTCTGCCAAAAAGCAGGTTAGAAGTAAGCAGGTTGCTACAGGCAGCATCACTGGACATGACCCTAACAGCTGTATGGTTTCTCCCCAAAACCTCATCGAGAATCCACCCAGCACAGCCGGGAGTCATCCATGACTGCAGCAGCTGTGCCAGTTTTCTGTTACTGTTCCTTCTCAATCATATCTAATGCACATGGGGAGTCAGATCTGACTCCTCTAAGGTGAAAGGCTACAGACCAAACAGCACTGAATAGATGTGTTTGGCATCACATTTCTGTTCCAGTGAAGATGAGAAGCTGCAGTTATTCAAAAGGAATTGAACGTTTCTCCAGCAGCTGAGAAAGTCTGATAACAGGAACAAAGACATATTCTTGATCTTACAGGTTACAAGACAGAAAACAGAAGCAAAGAGTAGAGGAGATTTCTTTGCAGAGCCCTTTCCTGACCCAGAGCTATATTGGTCTCTGATCAAGAGCATCTTTACTTGACCACTAGATGTCGCTCATGCAGCGCGACCTGCCTCAAGCCAGAGACCTGCCAACCACCTTAAGGGGACAGTAAAATAGCAATTTCTAAATGAGGAAGATTAATACTGGCTGATTTTGCTATACACGTTTTAATCAGCAGGGAATCTGATTTTGTCTGGAGGTAGCACTGGAAGATTCGGTGTATAATGAATACCCTCAGCAGGAATAACACTCTCCTTTATCACAAGACCCTCTATTACTCCTCTGCTGCTCATTACCTTCCTTAATTCTATATTCTTTACCCTACAACTCAGTGCTGCAGGCTTTCAGACCTGCCTTGCATTTTACCTGCAGAGAAAATGTTGATGGCGATTAAAAGTGCATATTCAGCATCGTTGAGTTGTAGCTCATTCATTCCCTTTGAGAATTCAAAGATGGGGTTAATGAACTCAAACTGCAGACCTACAACAAAAAGAAGAGGGTAAGTGTCAACAATGGCAACTGTCTCCTCTATCTCCCTTCCTCTCACAGGATAAGCTGTCAGAAACACACTCAGTATGCCAGGGAGCAGGGAAGGCAGGTAGGCAGGCAAATACCCTTATATTATATCCCAAGTGTGGTTGAAAACACCCTTCACATTGTACCACCAGTGGTGAACACCAACAGCAGGTGAGGACTCAGGCCCTAACCTTAACTTCTTGGTTTCCTTGAGCCTTACATGTCCCTCAACACGTTAGTAGGCAATATCTAAAGAAAAACGTCATCAGTTCTCAAGTAAATCCGTCACAAAGGCAGAAACCCACAATCACAAAATCTACACTTTCCACTCTCAAACCACCACCTCTTTCAAGCCTGGCAGCCTTCCTCCTTCCACAGAAGCTTTCATCCCATGCTGCTGATTCATCTGTAGTCGGTCTGAGCCAAAAAAAAAAAAAAGAAATACAGTTCCAAGAGGTGTGAACTATTTGAATTCATTTCAAAGTGAGACAGATGAAGAAGAGCCTAACCTATGCTTCCTATCACCTTGCTCTATCTCTGGAAGCGTTCAAGGCCAGGTTGGATGGGGCTTTGACCAACCTGGTCTAGCAAAAGATTTTCCTGTCCATGGCAGAGGGGTTGGAACCAGATGGTCTTTAAATTCTCTTCCAATCCAAACCATTCTATGATTTTTTTCAATAAACACAGCCTGGCAGAAGTGCAATGATACTTCTGTCACAACACAGAGGACACCGTCACATCAAGTCTCCATGTGCTACGTGCTACACAAACATGCTGAAATCTTAAAGCCCAAAATAGCATCTAAGTTTCTCATTTCCTGTAGTACAACTGCATCAGAGCAAAGAAGAGCAAGATGGAGGAAACCTCTCTGGCTGCCTGCTTTTTGCCTTCCTACTAATCTGAAGAAAAGGCGAACAGTGAGAGCATCAAAGAACAATAGTGTTTATTTAAACCTGAAAAAAAAAAAAAGAAACCAAGTTCAGCTCCCTAGAGTTTTGAACCTTTGTTATGAGAAACAGCATCACAACTTCAAAGTGAAGTTAGGTGACATGCTGAGGCAGTAAGCTCCTAGAAGGCCATCAGGGGCCTGGAGGGCTGGAGCACCCTGAACTTGGCCCATGCAAGGTACAAAGATTGCATGGTTTGCAATGAGCCTTTGAGTCACACAATGAAAGTATCACCTGGCAGGGCAAGATGATAAGTGGAGGAGAGAAGGAAAAACAGCACGTACCTGAAAAGCCATCCTACAATTCAATTACCAGTGAGCAAGACCAAGGACAGTTCTAAACAGAAACCATGACAATAAGACGTAAAGGGCTGAGGCCTAACTCTTCTAGACCTTACATATACTGACACTGCAAGAGAACTTGGACAACCTGACACTGCTCCCCTATTTCATATGGTCTCTCAGCAAAACATGTGCATGGGAAGGCTTGGAAAACCTTAACAAGCAACAGTCGTATCACTGAGTGAGATTAAAATGCTGAGAAAGGCTACTATCAGGAATTCCTGGCTATACAAGGATGGGAAAGTAATGAAGGACACCGTGAATACAAGACCTTAAATAGCTACACAAGAAACCCACAAAATCACATGAAGAACAGCCAAAATCTCCTTTTCAGAAATGCTGAAGACATGCACTTCCTTTCACTTAATTTGAAATCACAAATATTCAATGCTCCTGGAAAAACACAATTCAGAAGTCACGTCACCGCTGATCATCACATACCAAGCCAGTGACGTGTCTGCAGCATTCTGCAGGGATCTCCAACACACGTTATAGACTTCATAACAACTTGAACATACTCACACTAACGTCACCACTCAAAGCAAGCCTCTACATTGCCAAGTGATACAGTGCAAAGGGGAAAAGACTGGGGTTTGATTTGCTGTCATCTGATAGAGCCCTAAGAACACATCCATGTCAGCTCTTTACCGCTAAGTTCACACCAGCTGCCAGCCCTAGGTGCACACCACCCTCACACAGTGAGCTAAGGGGAGCATCCACACCAGAAGTGGGGTACCCCAGAAAGTGAACTCAACCTTGGCTCCCTCAGCAAACAGGGTGCTAAGCTCGAGTGCATGCTGCAAGACTGCAGACATCCACACAGCAAGACTGTCACACTGTAAGTGTCCGAATTTTCCAAAGCAAATTCACACCTAAAAAAAAAGACATTAACTGAAGCAATATCACATGTTAAAAGCAAAGAACATTTGTGGGGACATTGGTCTATCCCTGTTCTAAACTCCTCACCTAAGTTCAAGGCCCCAGATACCATTTCCACCAGCTCATATTGAAAAGGAAAAGATGAAACAACACAAGACAGAGAAGGAAGAAACACCTGTCTAATGCACCACCTGCTTTGGCGAAGTCATCCCGATTATAGCTCAGGTCCTTAAGAAAAGTGATGCTCTCAATCTCTGGATTGTAGCGTCGAGATGTCTCCAATAACATCACCTGAAACCAGAGATCAGGGATAGATATACTTGACTTGAATACAAGAAAGAACATTGCAACATTGATAATTTATTGATGGTTAGAGCATCACCAAAGGGAAAAAATATATATAAAAACTACACTTCTCCAAGAGTGCTTCAAAATTCCAGTGTAAATTCTACTGCATCCTTTGCACTGTTTCCTTCTGGGAAGGGAATTACTTGCTTTCCACTACCAAGGCTCTTGCCTCATTCTCCTCCATGGCCCTTTGCCAGGAGGGCCTGGCACTGCAGTAACAGCCCCATAGCTGTTACATAGGTCTTTCAATCTAGGATGTAAAATCAGTTCTGCATGTGGGTGCTCCAAACTCTTTCTTCTCTTCTACTACGCATTGTGGTGAAGCCAAACTCTCACCTCTATCGTAGATGTCTTCAATAAAGCGATCTGATCTTCCCTGGTGAGGTCCAGGAAGCCGGGCAGTTGCTTGGCAAAGTCCACAATCTCTTGCACAGAGATAATTGCAAGTTCTGTAAAGTGAGCAAAACGCTGCTGCCTCGCTTCACGGTTATTAGGGTCAGGAACTTGGGGCCATGGCTGTCGGGATCGAAAGAGACAGTGTGTATATGTGAAAGATGGAGAGAGAGCAGAAGAATGAGAAGATAAAGTGAACAGAGAAAAAGAGACACATTGGATTATTAGCCTTTGCTATTCACAGAATGTTAGCCCACAGATACAACACCTCAAACATTTAAATTCCCCCAAAATGCTTCACCCACAACCTCAACTCCCCACACTTCCACTTTTTCTTATCACGGTTCCGCTGGTAAGAGTTATTACCGTCACTTTGAGCCTGTCTGTGAACGAGCGCTGGTTGCACTGCTGCTGAGCGGCCACGAGCTTCTCTATCATGCTTAACTGTTGAGGCGTCAGTTTGTGGGAAGGGCTTGGTGGGTGTGGAGGGTTTGGACGCACCACGACTGTCCGAGCCTGATCGTCCTCCTGTTTCTTCAGCTTCTTCAGCCTGATTTGCTCTTCAGACAGAACATCTAAAATAGAAATGGCCAGAGATCAACCTTGACACAGGGGAATGCCAAAAACTGCACAGAGGGTAGCATGCAGTGGATGGAGAGGCAGAGATTACAGCTGCTTGCATCTGGCTTATCAGAGTGTACATAATATAGACAGCAGGCAGTGATACCTATCATTTGTTTCTCCCTCTTTTTTCCACTTTAAGTTGTTCCATTGCCTTTCTTTTAATCATACTGTACTGCAAAACGTTCACAAAGGACAGTGAACACATGAAGCTCCCTTCATGCTGCCCTGCAGATGTCAGAAACACATCAGTGGCTTTTCCCCTTGAGCGATTCCCCAGAATATCATATTGTAACATATTCCAAGAGGTGATTTCTCCACATCATGATGTGTCCATTACATTGTTATATTATCCTGTTATTTTGTCTTTTCCTCACATGGCTAAATTAAGAGTTTGTGGCGTTTCATCTTCCTCTTAAGACGTCAAAGTCAGTACTGGATGGAGCTTGAGCATGAAAGGACAATTCTCTACACAGCCCATCTGCAGCAGACTGTAGAGCAGTAACGTGCAGCAAGATGAGTAATTAAAGGATAGCTTTACATAAATCCTGATGAGGAGGAATGCAAGTCTTTCCAGAGCAGGGCTGGAAGCCTTCTTCAGTCATGAACTCAAAGGGTGATGCCATTTAGTTTTAACGTTGTAGGGAATAAAACAAGCCAGAGGCATGTGTTATGAAACGTCTCACTGAACCAACTGCTCATTAGTTCATTTAAATAGAAAGACCTGTTAGAGGCCTGTAACTAAGTTAACTGAAGAACTTACTGGTTTGAACGCAGGTAAGGTTTGTTGTGTCTTTAGGTCAAAGCTGTAAAAACTATCTGCAAGCTGTATCCAAGCAAAAGAAGACTATCAGACATACTTGGATTCAAGGATTATCTTCAAGGTCACCCCCATGAGCTACTGATCAATGAACAAAACGCCAAAAATGGATTGACTGGAAATTAAACTTCAAAAACAGAGAAAAAAAGCTCGAACTTGCAAATAAATATTTAAGAGGTGCTGAAAAAGCCTTTGGCCATTTTTCATATAGAGGTAACAAGGAAACATAGGTGCTCCCCAAGAAGGCAGGTCCCAAAGCAGAACAAGTATACACTTGCACTTCTCAGAAGAACTGTGTTAAACATGAAGGCAAGAAGTAGACAGCTATTGTGAAAGTGTGTTCTGAGGGGCACAACACACAGGATTGGAGGGAAAGCCAAAGAACACATAACATTCAAGCTGAGATGAACCTGTATCCCAAACTTCCAACAGCTAGGGTGCACGTGCACGCACACACATGCAAACCAGAATTCTAATGGCGAAGGCATTCAATCCAGTAGCCATAAAAGGTGACCTGTAAGATTGGAGAATGCCAGTCGCAGTATGAGTTTGAAAAGGGAAGTCATTGATTCAGGCAATTGCAGTCCCTCATTTTAGGTCTCAGATGCATGAAGAATTTACATCCAAGTTACACATTAGTAAATATTGGAGAACCCTGAAAACTGCCTATGTTAAAGCTCGTACACCATGCTAAATTCAAAATTATCTGAGTTACTCAGTTTTCTATGAAGATGATATTTAATCTCATGGTGCACACTGTTACAAGAAAGATAAATTGTCTGTGAATAGCTTCAGTCTGAGAATTAGAAGAATGTTTCCATCAATTAGAGGGAAGTTCTGAAATGACCTTCCAAGTGAAACAGTTGGAAAAAAAAACACTCCGTTTTTGTCAAGATTAGCAAGGCAAATTTCCAGTGAGGATTCGTGTTGACAAGAATTGCCAAGCAGTTGATAATAGCAACCCAAAGGTTCCTCTTGGCATAATTTCTCTGAGCTGAAGCATATCCTCTGTCCTCACCATAAGACAACAAGTAAACACCAAAACACGTAGAGGCTCTCTAATATCTACCTGTAACCAAAGAGTAACACAGTGGACAGACAGCCTCACTACATAACTTTTCAAATACATCTGTTTTGTAGCTCTCAGGAGCGAGGGGAAATGGTGCAAAGTCAGTATATATAGAGCTGATGCAAACCACTGCAGCAAAGATACAGATTACATGTTAGATGTGCTGTGTTTCAGCTTGAAAAAAATGAAAGCACATTTCCTTGCTGCAAGTTAACGGGGCTTATTCTTTTTGCACAAGTGTATTTTGAAGATGTTTCTGAAATACTCTGTGTTCCTCACTGCTCTGAGTACTGGATGGCAGAAAAAGAGACTTCACACAGAATTAGTATTAACTGAGCGTCCATTTAGCCAGTCTTGGCTAGAAGAGAAGGATGAAACCTAGGTGTCATGGCAGAGGATTGCTGTTCCTGATATGCAAGCAGGAATACTCTTGAATATTCAGAAAATAGCAGCCTTATGACTCCTGTGAGAAAAATAACTGAGCTCACTAACGGCCTCAACAAGGCTGGGTCTGCACAAACACAGCTGCAGCACTGTGGTGCTGCCCTTGACTTCTGTCACAAGGCACATAGGGAAAACACCTTCTGGCATTCAAAGAGCACGGTGACAAACCTCACAGTGCAGACCATGAGCCAGACAGAAGCCCAAGTTTACTGTGGCAGGCGACAACATACCGAAGAATGTGTAAATCTTAGTTGCGAGTCTTTCCCCTGATGCCATTCTCCATGAATTCTTACAAAACAATGTGTTCAGGAAACAAAGCAGGGCTCATCAGCACAACAGTGTTTTTTCACCAACAGACACCTCTCCACGTAACGCCAACTAAGCCCTCAGTGACTTCCCAAATGTAATCCAGCATGCCGAGCGACCCCCCAGCACTCACACCGTCTCCTTATTACACCACCCGTTGGCCCCCAGCCCACTCCCACAGCACCACGGTGCGCCCAGCAGCACCCCTGGGTGCACTCACACTGCTCCCGCATGCCCGCCTCCTGGCACTTGCGCAGCCGGCACTCCTGGCACTTGCGGCGCATGTACATGTCCATCTCACACTTGCCGCCGTTCTTGCAGACGTACTGGGCACCCTTGATGACGCTGCGGCGGAAGAAGCCCTTGCAGCCTTCGCAGCTCAGCACGTTGTAGTGGAAGCCGGAGGCCTTGTCGCCACACACGCTGCACACTTCATTTCCCAGCATCTTTGGGGCTGGGCCCTTCTTCCGCTTCAAGGGGGGATTTTCTATCGAGAACAGCATCAAGAAAAAAAAAAAAATCACACATGGCATTTGCAACTGACTGTCCCATTCCTCACAGTTACTGATATCCTCATCCAAACCCACTATCTCCCAAACATATGGATGAAAAGATCAAGTCCTCCATTCCACAGCCTTTCCTTCTGGGCAAGTATATCTTCTAAAAGAAGTCAAATACTGACATAATCCAAACAGTTTCATGCTAAATGTATAAGCAGATATAGCTTTGCATTTGATCCACTTAAAAACAGGCAGAGAGAAAACTTGTTCAGGTCAGACATTCTTCTGCACTTCCCATCAGCGGAATGACACTAAGCCATGTAAGAAACTGTGACAAAAAATCTGAGTGGAAATCCAAGATTGCACAGAAAATATATTTTTTTCTTTTTTTAAAATTCACCTTCAGTGTTCTAACTTCTATTCTCTGCCATACTCATACACAAAGGTAAAGTAAAATGGTTCAGCAGTCAAACAGTCAAAGAAAAACAGTACCTAAACTGTGGCACTACAAACAAAACAGACTGAGCAGGCAATCCCCATAACTAGAACACCTGGGGAAACCTTCAAGATAGAAAACGCCAACTTCATGGAGTTAGGGGCAAGGAGCAGACGAGCACTGCATGAGCTCTGGGAACCTTTGGAACCCCACAGCCATAATTTCTTTTTCAAGACACCTCCTCCTGACTCCTACAACTAACGCATTTCCACATTGACAGTTCATTTACTAAACGTGGTTACGCCATTTGAAACACTGGGCCTTTGCTACTGTCTTGCATTTTAGATGGTCTTGTGCAGCAGCTCCCTGTTCTTCCTACATCATTCTTAGGGATCTGAATCTTGTCACCAACTGTACATTGTGAAAACATTTTTAAGACTGTCTCACTTAAGAGCACACTGTCTCTCTTAAGCATTCTACTCAAATGTTTGCTGAGGTTATTTGCGTATTCCCTCCCTATTAGCCATCTCTGTTTTCATTCCAATAATTCTAGCCACGTTGACATCTGGCACGTCTTCCTGCACAGCTCAGTGCGTATAATTCTTCTGTCAGATATTATAGATCTTTCCATGACAGATGTTCATAAAGATCACAAACAGCACAGTCTTGATAAGTCTCCAGATATGTTTAGATATGCCTGGAAAGCCTTTATACTGCAGTCAATTTATAGGGTTTGGTTTGCAGGACAACGCTGCTGCATTTCCTGATCAGCACCAAGCTTACAACAGCATGGTTCATTTTCATATTTATGGTTTTAATACTTCTCTCTTTATTCTCAGCTTTGGTTACTATTCTGCTCAGGTACCCCAAATAGTAAACAGCTAGGAAGTTTTAGATCAGTCTCAGCAATTATTATTAGTGTTCTTCACTCCATATTGGTTTTCAGTCTTAAGTATCTTGGTGTTGATTTTCAATCCCATTGACTTTACTAAGGTCTAGAGGTCATTCATCTTGGCCTGCACATCTCATTGCAGACTGGACAGCAGGAAAATGTCAACAGAAAGGTTAAGTCTCTGATATTCACCTCTCTTGATTTACTGTACTTCTCTTCACACGATCAGTTACAAGAAGTTGTGCAATGCCTATTATTTATCTCATATTACTTAGTCCCTTAATACATATGCATTAACTGGTGTGATAACTTTGCAGAAGTCTCAAATCCCATTCACGTTTCTGACAGACAGCAGAGTAAGCCAATGACTTCCACAAGTTGCACCTGTTCAGTGCATACTGGATTTCTTCACTGTCTTTAAGGAGCTACATAAAGGCCTGATAACCATCCTTACAATTGCTTTATTGAGACAAATATACTTATTCTTCCATCTAAAGAAACTATTTTCCAGTTTTAACACTAGCCATTTTAGTTATACAGCTTATTATTGCCATTTTGCGCAACCAAAGATCAAGATATATCAAGCTTAAACCCCCCTCTGGTACCTTGGGCTCTCATTACAGTCCTCCTTTAGTACATACGCTATTTAATCATTTTCCTCACATTTGGTGATGCTTTTTCTTGCAACCTTTGCATTTTTTAAGTTTGAAGATATAGGATTCTGTGTGTCAATGACAATTATAACTGCAAAACTTCAGTTCTCTTTCCTGAGACATTTAACTTCCGTTCCTTGTGGCAGATTACTCTGTTTAATTCTGGTGCCTGTCTTTTTTTATGCCGTGTAGCTTCAAAACATCATGGCCTATTATGTCTCATTACTGTGAATACACACATGCAGGAGAAAAAAAATGTGTAGAGGAAAACTCTACTCTCCTGTTATATGAATCTGCAAGAACCTAGTACTTCATTGCATCACTAACCCTTGTGGGACTGTCACATACAGTAAAGCTTTGTTGTTCAGCAGCTTTTGATAAGGCAAACAAAAAGAACTCCATTTTACTGCCACGGACCTTGCCTCCAGGAGGTCAAATAAGCAAAGCATTCAACACGTTTATCAGCTGTATAAACCTGTTCATCTTCAACTACCAGTAAAGGATTCTAGTCTTAGACACTGAGTGCCTCAAGCGTAGCAGTAATCACCCTAAAATTTTGTTAAGTGTTAATTCTTTTTGCAGCTCAAAGAACGGAATTCATTTAGCTTGTGTGGATTGAATAAGAATTTTTCCATACCTGCATGCTCAGGGGGGTTCTCTGAGCCAGAGAAGAGTGAAAGCCCTTCCTCCTCCATCTCAAATACACTTGCCACCCTCTTCCCATGATCTTGTGTGCTGAGTTGAGTGGGACCCATGGAGGCCACACAGGAAGGGCTCGCTATAGTCTCATTGCTGCAGCATGGTTACTGCAGAGCAAGAGGCAGCAGGCGTCTTCCTTCAACGTCTTCGGTTTCTTTCTGCTACTGCAAGTCAGAAAGGAAGTACCTGTGAAGAAAAACAGATGCAAAAGAGGTAAGAGTTCAGCTACTGAGGCTGTTAACTCCCCAAAGCTATTACAAACTGCATCACAAGCAAGATTGAGATTTTGTTTCCTTATTTATTAAAAAGGGACAATTAACTTTGTTTTATCAGTGTTTATTCCCTTGAAACACAACATTTTAACAAACTGTGGTAAAGGTACAAGGATTAGCGCACTCAGACACAAAATTGTCTGTTTATTGCCAGAATATTTATCAAAGCAGGACACATCTCTGTTACTGCTACCACCACCAGGGGAATTGAGCGCTGACCCCTCCCAAAAGTGTGAAAGGGAAATTCCAGACTTTACAACGGGTGGCCTTTGCTGAAGCTTCCAGTAACAAATTACTCGTTACTGCCAGTTGTGCTGGATTTTGTGTCACGCACTGCAGAACACAAAGAAAATTGTAGAAGATAATTTTGAAACAACGATTTAGCAAAGACTAATTTCCCTATTACTAGCAACAGCCAAAGGCTATGCCAAAGATCAATGATGCATCAAATATGAGGATTACAAATCCTTCCTGGATCTACAAAAAGAACTGAATAGCCAGCACCACACCTAAGGGAAACAACCCTTATGCCACCCTCAGGAAACAGACTCAGCACCAACCTTCTGAGGATACAGCACTAACTCCACGCTACAGAACCAGAACCTGGAAAGTGAATCCAATCACTATTTTTCCCAAAAGCTCTGCACCTGCACAGAAAAAGCCTTACCAGTTTGACTGCACAGACTTAGTGAAACTGATGTAAACTGCTAGTGTAAACACGCCTAATCTGACTAAGCATGCATTTAGATCAGTTGATCTCAATTCAGTGATTTATCAATGCAAGCTAAAGGGATTAACTGATTTAAAAAGCAACTGTGTTAAAGGCCTGTACCACTTTAACTTGACCAGTTGAGTTTGGGACCAGAGGACTGTGACTCTCTAAAAGAGAGGAGGTGACAGAAGGCTGGGCAGCAGCCCAAATACGAACGCATCAGGTAGCCAGGGGCATGCTTCACACACTGCACTGCGGACTGGGAAAAGGCAGAGGACTGCTGTCCCCAGTCCCTTCTTCCCTCCTGTATGTTTGGACCAGACCACGAAGCTTCTCTTGGAATGACAAAGACAAAAGCAATAGTCCCACAAACCACCCCCTCCCAGGACTCCGAGAGCAACAGTCATCAAGTATAAATCCAGTCATACTGTCAAGCCTGCTGGACTCCTGCCATGTCCCATTACACTCCGGCAGATAATGAATGCAGGTCTAAAAAACCACAGGACGTATTAATTTATGTGACCTTTATAAACACAGACTCAGACCGTATAAGGAATTCAAAGCTCTCTTCCCTTTGGTGCACGCAGCCCTGAATCACTGGCAAAACAGACCATCTATGATGAACGCAGTGGCAGCAAATACGAGATTCAAAGCCATAGGAAAAGTAAAAATCCTAATGTGGGAAACTGCTACATAACAGATCTGATTTGCCAACAATTCAAGAAGTCTCATAGTTCGCAAAGGAACAGAGTGGCCATCACAATCAACTTTAAAAAAAAACTCCACAGTAAATACTGCAGCCTCATGGAGAGGCACAGAGCACCACTTGGAGAGAGGAACTTCAATGAAAAAACCCAAATGTGCCTTGTACTCCGAGTCCTGTGTAAGCTCCTCATTGATGCAGATTACCAGATGTCTCTGGGCACGTTTGGGCACGAAACAGTGAGCTAAGTGTACTGCCTAGATGCATCTCCACATTCCTTTAAACCACGCAAAAGATTCATTCAAACGGTAATTATTGTGGAGAATGAATCACTACCAGCAGCACTGCAGTGCTTTTTGAAGCAAAAGTTTGATCCTCCAGCTGAGGCATTGAGTGACTGAGCTCAGGTCCTGCTGCATCCCGGCCATAAGCTGTGATGTATCCCAGAAAGTAAAAAGAGGAGGGCGCATCCTGATGGGATTCTGAAACTCTCATCCACGATTGACATTGCAGGAGTGAAACTTGCTGTCAGCAGGACATCTGGAGCCCAAAGGGGAGTTTCTAAAAACACACAACCACAAGACTGCAGACTTCCTGGCAATGTCTGACTAGTCTGCAGTTAGCACCAGGGAGGGGAGTATAAAGCTGCGTGCACACCCAGGACACGGCAAGGGGCAAGGCCTATCAGCCACTATCTTCGTGCTGCGAAACCAGCCCACATGCTCCTACCTCCTGCACCAGCTTCCCTAGCCTTCCCCCAGCGGAACAGGCCAGACAGGAGCAGGGCAGATGAGAAGCCTCTCCTACGAGACAGCATTTTTTAGTTTTGTAGCTGCAGTAATAGGCTGTGGAAAACTGACCGAACTGCAAACAGCAGCACGCTGGTGGGGCTAGGTAAAGAAAAGTAAATCAGCATTTTCCAGACAGGCACACATATATTTGAGAGGCTGTATGATTAGGCCAGCAAGTCAGTTTTCGTAGAAATATACAAGAATAGTTTCCAAATGACTAAAACCCTTGAGTTCTGTACTAACAGCCACGTTATTAGAGGTTTGTATCTCCCAATTTGCACCACCACTTCAACTTGAGATAAAGAAGGGTAATGCAAGCTCTAATTGCAAAAGGGAACAGAGTCTTCCTGACATCATCTGCTGTGCTGCCTCCCACCGTCTGTCTCAGCTTTGTTAGTTTTAGAAGCCAGGACTGGCCAAGTGACAGAAGATGGGGCAATCACTTCTCTCTAACATAGCATCCAGGGCAGAGAAACCTAGTGAACATACTCCAGCGAGGAAGCCCATACAATTCTCTACCAGCCCTTGCCACTCACATCTCAAACAAGACACTAAACACCTCCAAAATGTGTTGCCACCAGGTTCTCCCTACTCCATTTCTTCCCTCTCTCTTCCTTTTCTGAGACAACTGAACAACTCTGAGACTGGTGGTTTCAACATCAGTGCTTCTGCAACAGAAAATTCTGTAACAAAGACCAGAGGTGGCAGCCCTGGCTCTTGCACTTCATGTTAACTGCCAGAAACCTTCATTACTTCCTCCAGCAACAGCCTTGTCTCAACCCATACACTCAGCTGAAAGTCTTCTTCCAAGCCCAGCTAAAGCATTTATGCACTCTTCTGGAAGTCTTTGACCGAAGTCTTTGACCTGGCCTGTCATCAACAGCCACAAAGCTGCAGAATATGCCTCATTTCTGTCCCATACTCACAGAGGGTAAATAAAGGATAAACGGTAAAGGCTCTGGGCAGCACAGCACATGGATAAAGAAACCAAGTGAGCCAGGTGCAGTTATTGCGACTCCTGCTAAAAACATCCGTCCTCTCCCTCTCCTTGGCATTTCTTCTCTGGTGCTTTCTGGGAGAAGTATAAAAGCCAGGAAGCAGACCAGATGCAAGTGCATCTCCAGAGAACCTGTACTGTGGAGCACAGGAATAATGGGAGGAATAGCACAACAAGCCTTTTACCTCCAAGCACTGGAAGCTCCGATGAAACAGGTAGCTTTTTAGGAAGTTTGCGCAAGCTCTGGTATCTTTCAAAAGAAGAGTTACTGGTCAGAGTCCTGGTAAGTTACAAAATCCTATAGCCTTCTGCCAAGAAAAAAATAAATGGTTAGGTTTCAGTTCCAAAATGAATCACAAGTGCGCTCTCTGCAGCACGTCAGCATCAGCAGAAGAGACCTTGCATTTATATTCTTGTGTTAACGTGACTGTGCTTGTGTGTCACACACCTGCGTGGCAACAGGACTGGGTTTTTTTGGAGGAGGCATAAAAAAGCAGGTTGTTGGTGAACCACTGTGTCTGATAGGAAGGTTTATCTTTCACAGGTACTTAAAACAGGGATATAATTTGGCATTTGGGCTTCTAAATGCATTGTGACATGCAATAGGAGTGTTGGCACCCATTCTGGAACTACCTCTGTGAGCTGGGTCAAAACAATGCTTAACAGTCTCTGCTGAAATCTAAATGCACAGTGTGTACACCACTGGTGCTATCTTTGGTACCAAAAGTTGGCTGCAGATATAAATGGCTGAGGGAAAATAATAAACATGGTCGGACTGACATTTCATGGACCCTACAGCACTAGCAGGGAACAAAGCCCCCCAGGAGACACTGCTGTTCCAATTCTTTCATTGAGGACTAACCTAACGCTCTTCCTATCCCTTCTCTGGTGTGAGAATTTTCACAGAATTCCCCGAAGAACAAGGCAGTACCTTGCAGCTGGCCCAGAGAAACAAAAGAAGAAACATCCTAGCTCATTCCTCTGCAACATCTCATTTCTCAAGAAGTACCAACACAACTAAGAGGTCCATAGGAGGGTCAGAAGTACGTATATAACAGGTTTCGCTTTGTAAAAAGTGGAAAGAGCCACTTGTACCTTTCAGAGCAGAAAAAGAAATCTATGCAGATCTGTCACGTTGAGGGAGAAAACACGAAAATGCAAGGCGTGCAAAGCAGTGCAACAGGATAGCATAAGGAGTAGTTCTGAACATTATGTTTACAAATAAGGCAAAGAACTGTACCGTGACTCTGAGGAAAAAGAAACTAGCTGGGCCCCAGCTGTAAGAGCCCAAGTTGCCCAAGCGCGTGGCACTTGCCTGTGAACCTTATGTGCTGCTGCCACCTCTGGTCCTACCAGCCACTCCTAACCGTGCAGCCTGCTCCACTTAGGTCTCCTGTCCCCAGTGATACAGTCTTATTCCCACCTCTGCCTCTCTGGCTCTGAGAGCCCCCATCCTCTTACCTTGGCTCCGACTCCTGCTGCTGACCAGCTTCCTTACTACCCGTGACTTTGCTGACTTGTGGCGTGAGCTTTGCTTATGGCATTTGTCTCTTCCTTTGAAGTGGTGCATCCCTGAATTTGCTTGAGCTCTCGCTGCAGCACCCAGCTCTCATGGTGAAGCCTTCCTATGGGCTGTGCCTCCACCCCCGGCTTTCGTCTGGTCTCAGCACACAGCGAGATGTCTCCTAACCTGCTCAGCTATGGATGCCGT